GTTTCAAATCCAGTCATCACATCTCCAAAGCCCACACTCAACCTCTGTGCTCCTTGAGATTTAGGGACTAAGAGAGCAGAGAAATATGCTTAGGCGGTAGATGTCATGATATGCACAGAGGAAACAAACAAAACATGGATTCGAATGTCCACAGTTCCATCAGGCAATGTCTTTTCACTTGAATATATCAAAGAGTATATCAAAGAAAGTGGGTTCTACATAAAGCTTTACTAACTAGATACTTGACTGGGGCACGTGAACTTAACCTAACATTAAAGAAAATCTTCATTGTTTAAGCAAATGTACTTGGAAACAAATTACAATAAAAAATAATTCATTGCAAATCAGCCGGGCATGATGACACATGCTTGTAGTCCCAGCTACTCAGGAGGCTGAGGCAGGAGGATCACTTGAGCTCAGGAGTTTGAGGTTGCAGTGAGCTATGATGACACCACTGAACTCCAGCCTGGGTGACAGAGTGAGACCCTGTCATTCATTCATTCATACATACATATATAAATAAACCATTGCAGATATTTTGTACCACTGCTTCTTCCACATTTTCTTATAATAAAGTATTTTTTATTTTTCAGGAAGGGAGGGAGTTCTCGCATCATACTCCTAAATAGGGAAATTCTCAGTGATCCTGGCAGCTCTTCATTGGACTTACAGCACCAACATCTCCCCTTTTTGGTTCTTACAAGCAATGTAGTCTAAATGGCACTTTTGCCATTCCTACCAGTCACTACAGTTAGGAACAAGAATGTCTGTGCATAGTGCCTGGTTCGAATTCTGGCTCTGCACTTAATAGCTAGGTGATCTTAGGGAAGTTATTGAACCTCTATGTCTCAGTGTGAGAATGACAACAGTATCCTCTCCTTACATATTCAGTAGTAAAGAGTTGAATGCGTTAAGACATGGAACTAACTAGAGCAGTTCTTGGCACACAGTAAATGTTCTATAAATGTTAGATTTATTCTTTCTTTTTTTGAGACAGAATCTCACTCTGCTGCCCCGGCTAGACTACACTGGCATCAGCCTAGCTCACAGCAACCTCAAACACCTGGGTTCAAGCAATCCTCCTGCCTCAGCCTCCTGAGTAGCTGGGACTACAGGCGCATGCCACCATGTCCGGCTAATTTTTTCCATTTTCAGTACAGACCAGGTCTCACTTTTGCTCAGGCTGGTCTTGAATTCCTGACCTCAAGTGATCCTCCCACTTCGGCCTCCTAGAGTGCTAGGATTACATATGTGAGCACCGCACTGGCCAAGATTTATTGTTAAAATGCTCACAAGGGGTTATCACAGGTATCTTTGGACATTAGAATACTATGTGACAAGGAACACTTAATACCTCTATAATGAAAGGAGAAAGGAAGAAAAAATACATCCACAAAATGGGTCAAATTCAAAGAAAATGTATGTGCTTTGGGTTGTACATGTGCACATAAGTGAGAGCACATTAAGTTCATCTGCCAAGAAGTTCTAAAACTGAGAGGTACCCTGAAAGTACGTTTTGGCTAAATGCCAAAAGCTTCAGTGTTAAATCAATGTTCAGACAAAATCAAGACCAGAGAGCATCACTATCATTGAATGTATTCCTTGGATACCAGCCTAATTTTGAAATTATCAAAAAATTATAATTGTATTATTAGAAATTTTAGTAATAATTTTAAAGTTTGACAAGGCAGTGCAGAAACAATTTCTCAGCATGGTTGGCCAACACAGCCACTCCACTGTGCAGGACCTGTCATGCTAAGAGATGTGCGCTTTATCTACAGTCAGTGGAAGAGAGAGATTTGTTGGCTAACTCTGCCAGGATATTGTAGACAGTGAGATTGCCAACAAGTCATTAAGCATTATTTTGTCTTTCAGCATGACTAATTTGAAGAATTATTTTGTCTAATATTATGAATCCCAGATTATCTCAGTCAATTCTATAGATTAGAACAATGCTATAATTTACTCTCTAGTATTCTGCCTTATATTAACCCGAATTTGTATAAATGTTTATTGGCTCAAAAGGGATATAATGTTTTCCTGAAGGTACCTAGTTGACTCACTTTCTCAATATTCATATACTGTTAATCTATTTCCTTAGTTAACTCATTGTCTAAATATTCATATTAACCGTTAATCCTATTTCTTTTAATTAAATATATGTCTTAGGTTTCTTTCTTTTTTTTTTTATGAGACGAGGTCTCGCTCTGTCACCCAGGCTGGAGTGCAGTGGTGTGATTACAGCTCACGGCAGCCTCAAACTCCCAGGCTCAAGTGATCCTCCTGCCTCAGCCTCCTGAGTAGCTAGGACCACAGGTGCACACCACCATGCCTGGCTAATTTTTCTTATTTTTTTGTAAAGACAGGGAGGGGTCTTGCTATGTTGCCCAGGCTGGTCTTGAACTCCTGGGCTCAAGCAATCCTCCCCGCTTGGTTTCCCAAAGCGCCGGGATGATAGGTGTGAGCTACCACACCTAGCCAGTTGTTTTGAAGAATAAATTAACAGCTTTCACAATTATCAATCACCAAGGCCTTTCACTCTTGCAATGAGTAACAATAGCAGATACTGACATAGCACTAACTATTAAATATATGCCAGGAACCACTCTAAGTCACATACACACACACCCAATCCTTACAACACACTCTAAGATGTAGGCACCTTATTATTCCTACTTTGCAAATGAAGAAAACTGAGCCACTAAAAAAGAGAAATAACTTGCCCAACTAGTAAGTGGCAGAGTTGGAATTTGAACTCAGCACACTGGTTCGTCTTCTGTGTTCTTAACCACTAGACACCCTGCCTTTCGGATGAGTCAGAGTTAGATAGCTGAGGGATGAAGGGGGGTTGAGGAGGAAGCACAGAGAAACACAGAAGCAACACTTGTAAAAGCTGTATGGCACATGTGAGGGCAGGGAAGAGGTATGTTTGAGAATGTGAAACAAGACACAGCAGTGTCCACATTTGAAGGTTCTGCAGGGGCCAGACCATGCAGGCCCGTGCAGGTCAGAATAAGGGACAGAAAAAGGACAGGAAGCCACTAGAGGGTCTTAAGCAAGGGGTGGAGACATGACAATCAGAATTCCAGTGTGAAAGCCACTTTGGCATAGGTGAGAATGCACGGAGCTGTTAGTAGCTACAGCAACAGTCCAGATGACAACAGCGTAGACTATGCTGGTGAGTGGAGAAGGTGGATATTTAAGGAGTACAAATCGCCAGGGCACAGGGAAGGACTGGATTTCGGGGAGGCAGGGGCCATGAAGAAAGAAGTTCCAAGGACAACTCCTGAGTTTCTGGTTTGTGCAAAGGGATGAACAGTGATGCTGCTGCACAGGACGGAGACACCTAGTGAGGACCAGAGGTTTGTGGGGAAAGGAATCAGCTCAGTCCTGGACATGCCGAGCATGGGGAGCATTTGCGATGTCCAAGGGGAGGTGTCCAGTAAGCAGATGGAGCCCACGCAACTGGAGCCAGAGATCTATATTCTGGAGTCGGCGTGTAAATGACAATTTAAGTTACAGGGGTGTATTAGATCCTATAAAGAGACTCTAGAGAAAGAGAAGAGGGAGAATCCTGAAGAACTTGACATCTTAAGAGACCAGAAAGACAAGGATGTGCCTGCAAAGAAAATGCTAAGAGGCTGAAGAAAAACCAGAAGAGAGTAGTTATCACAGAAACTAACGGGGGAGTGCGTTTAAGAAGAAATCAATAAAGTCAAATGCTTCTGAGAGGTCAAGAAACACGCAGACTGAAACATCTATTAGATCTGGAGACGTGGTGACTGTTTCAGAAGGGCAATGAGGACAGAAACCAGACCTGGGGTGAAGCGAGGAGTAAGCGAGAGGGGAGGAAATGAAGAAATACACACAACTCTGAAAAAGGTAGCTAAAAGAGGATGTGGGGTTGGGAGGAGAAGGTATTTAAAATAAAAGCAATTGAGCATGTTTAAAATGTCGATCAAAAGACCAGAGTTGGGAGGGAGGAGATGAACATACCGACTATACCAAAAATGAGTGAAGCTAACTGATAGTGTGAGGTTTCTATGAAGTCAGAAGGAGAGAGGATCCAAGCATTGAGAGGGAGGAGAGATGGTGCTTCTGTTTTACCATAAGGGAAGGAGACCGAGAGGTGTGCAGGTGTAGGCAGGTTTGCACTTTTCGGGGTGGGCAAATGAAGTTCCTGCCTGATGGTCCTACTTTCTCTGTGACTTAGGAGGCAAAGTTGTATCTGGAAAATGAAAGAGGTGTGGGTGTGGGGATGATGGGGGAGGGATAAAGTGGTGGCAGAGTCAGGGTTTTGAGGAAACAAGAAGGATTCAAACAGTCATTGTAGGAGGTGGGAAAAAGAGTGAATCCAAGAAACAGGACTTGCTGGGGGATGCTAAGGGCCCATTTCAGAACATTGGAGATCAAGAATTTATTGGCTACACCAGTGCAATAGAAAGGAACTTAAAAAAAAAAAAAAAGGAAAGAATTTACTGGGGTTCCAACTGGCCTCGCTCAGCAATGGGTACACGCAGAGAGAAGACAGATGGCAGTCATCCAGGAAGGGGTTTGCTAGCAAGGTACGACAAGAATCCAAAGAACAAGGGAGTTGAAGGGGCAAGGGTATTTAAGAATGTGGCAAGGGTGCTACAGATGGACCAGGGATCTATGCTACTTGAAGAAAAGAGAGAGGTTGGACCAAGAGAGAATAAAGGGAAAAGAGTCTGGAGGTCCAGTGAGACTGAGGCTCGTCACGGTAAAGGAGTTTAGCAAGCTGCTGGTGGAAAAGAGGGTATGGGCAGAGGACAATGTACTTCAATTTAATCCATTAATTACAGTTAATAATCACTCCTCAGATTACTTGAATTATTAGTCTGATCATTAATCAAATACATTAAGAAGATCAGCCCTCTGTGATATGACAAGGGACTCAGATTTCTACTCTGTGAAGAGCTCTTGGAAATCATTAAAAAAAGACCAACAAACCAAAAGGGAAAATGAATGAAACACCCTACTTGGCTGGAGATTCCTCTTCCAGGGTGCCCTGGGACTCCTCCATCGCTGTGGACTCCTCCATGGGTGCAGTCTGCTCCATGTCACTGAAAAACAGCAAAAACCTCTCTAATCATACAAATATGTTCACATCAGTGCCTCCATTAAAATATATTATCAAAGTAAAATAAAACATCTTAAACATATTAAGATGGAGAAAGCACATTTTAATGTCCTTCCTAAGGACATGCTCTTCAGGAATTACACACATATACAGGGACCTACATCAAAATGAAAATGAGAAAATGGTCTGAATTGCTTATCCATATAAATTATTCCCAAAAATGTGGACAATTCTTTGAGACATAGAAGTTTCCATAAATGATCTAAAATTAAGAACAGATTTTAAATGATCAGAAAAATTATTCAAAACTTATTATCCTAGAGAAGTGTAAGTATTAAAAAGAGCCACAAAAATTCTTAAATTGTAAGTGTTAAAAGATCTATTAAAAATACAAATATGCCATATCGAACTTTTAAAAAACAGTAAGAAAATGGAAATAGATTCCACAAAAAATGATTAGGTATGTTATAAACAACCTGGTGATAACTATTACAAAAAAATGAGGCTTTAAAACATTGATTTATATGCCATCACATCTAAGTAACAATCTACAGATTAGAAATGACAGCATAATGAAAATTAATTTGTATTTTAATACACATGATTTTAATTCTGCCTTTTTATGTTAACATTAATCCCACTTGAATATTACTTAAAAAAAAAGTCCCAGCAAAAGAAATCTCATTTTCAGTAAACTGATAAAATTAGTCAATATAAATATGCCCATTAGAAATATTTTATCATCTACATACAGAATCTAGCAATTTTTCATCCCTGTTTAGGAAAAAGCTTCAATAAGAGCTTTAAAAATAAGTTATTTTTTAAAGTAAACATAAATTGAACTGCAATAACACAATATATTTTTTTTCAATTTAAATAATGTTTTTATTCTCAACTCCAAGCTATTGTAATCAATTTTTAAAAAGAACTGTTTCCAGGCCGGGCGCGGTGGCTCACGCCTGTAATCCTAGCACTCTGGGAGGCCGAGGTGGGCGGATTGTTTGAGCTCAGGAGTTCGAGACCAGCCTGAGCAAGAGTGAGATCCTGTCTGTATTAAAAATACAAAGAAATTAATCGGACAACTAAAAATATATAGAAAAAATTAGCCGGGCATGGTGGCGCATGCCTGTAGTCCCAGCTACTCAGGAGGCTGAGGCAGAAGGATCGCTTGAGCCAGGAGTTTGAGGTTGCTGTGAGCTAGGCTGACGCCACGGCACTTTAGCCCAGGCAACAGAGTGAGACTCTGTCTCAAAAAAAAAAAAAAAAAAAAAAAAGAACTGTTTCCGAACACAAAATTTGAATTAATTTTTATTTTTTAAAAACAGGGTCCTAAATCAAATATGCTCGGTGTACGGGAAGAGCATGGCTGCTGGTCTGCCCACTGGAAGCCCCTTCATAAATGGTCACATCAGACTCGTCCCAGCAGGGATCTTAAACATCCAGAAGCCCCAAGTCTAGCAGCAGGAGCAGTGCTAAATTACTTCACCTTTTTCTTTATTCCCTTCATCATGGAATAAATCAAGGGGATAAAAACCAGGTTTACTGACAGTGTACACCTTTTGACAATTAAAAATCACAAAAGGGTTACAAAGATATGGGAGGGAGCAGAATACAGAAAAACAAAGAGACTGTAAAAATCAGCATTCCTTAAACTTGAGTAATTAATTGATTTTGCAGAAAAGAAAAATCACGGATCTCCCCTGAAGCTGACCTAAATTATCTTATGAATGAACATAAAACTAATGCCATGCTTACAGCTCTTATGTAATATGACCAAAACTACAAAGCAATTACATTTCAAAATTAGCAACAATTATTTTAGCAGATTATATTATTTTCTTGAAAGTAAATCATCAATGTTGGATTAGAAGCCAGATATAGCCCCAGTGCCTGTGTTTATATTTTGAAATCAATTACATTAGTACAGATAATGCCTATTTGTGTAAGCATGTTTCACAAAATGATGTTAAATGCTTCAAGGCTTTGTCATTGAAGTTCAAATTTAATCAGACTTCACACTTAACCGAATCTTTGACAGCTAACAAATTTTCACCAAATGCTGCCTGATAATGGCATAAAACTGTCCTGCTCTTTACAATAAAAGTTGTAAGGCAGCATTATTGAAAACTGCATTTGTAAGAATCTATTCCAATTGTTAACAAGAAAATAATATCTAACATACTTTATAATTACTGCAGATGGAAAAAAAATCTATTGTTAGCATAGACACTATCAAACTACTGAAGAAAACCAATATTGGAATGGCTCAGTCATACCAGTTTGAAAGCATCTTGTCCTTAAATCCAGTTATTGCTGCCGACACCTTCAAAGAAGAATACTAACTACAGGAAAACTCTCGCACCTACTACACACTGCGAAGCATTGGCCTTTGCCAGCCATGAACACATCACTTACAGTGTTAGATTCACCTCCACTTTTTTTGTCTCACTAATCAACGGTACAGCACGTAACTCCACTGCACTACATTGTTTTCACAATGTGATATTATTTTTTACTTTTGTCTTTAAGGACCACAACTTAAGAAAAATAAGTTCATGTACAAAGCTCATATTCTTCCAAAGAAGAAAAGTGGCAGTCTGGGTCCCCTCAAGCCTTCGGACTAGTGGAAGGCTGCTCTGCGACACTGCTCATGCTGCACTGCCCTGCAGCTTGTCTGCCTTTCTCTGCAGACACCAGAAAGGCATCATCCCTGCAGCTGTGAAAAGACAGAAATAGCAGACCAAGCACCTATTCTAACCAGCAAAATGAATGGCACAGATCTGAGGCACCGTGAGACCTCAGAGAAATGTCCAATTTGTGCCTCAGGTGAAACTTGTCAGTAAGCTTTGATCTGCAAATGATTTCATAAAACTGAGATGCAACATCAAGGATCTACAAGAACTCTGGAAGGTCACAGAAAAATATAGAATACCCAGGAATTTAAAAAGCATTCCAAGGCATGTGCAAGTGTACTGTGCCATATACTTGGGACATCAGCAAATACACTGTTATAAACCGGTTTGGCTAAAATAAGATAAAATAATAGAATTTTAGAAAGAGTTTTAAATCTAATTGTAATATAGCAAAACTGTTTTAAAAACTTATCTCATTAAACAAAGCCCAAAATCAATCTCCACTTAGAGGCACACGAACAGAGTACACACAAGTATAAAGCACAACACAGAGACATTATTTTCAAGAAAAGCAAACAAAGATCCAGAGATTTCCACCTACGTGAAGGCTCTCAGAGGGCTCACAATTGCACCATACCTGGTATCTTTACCTGATCCCCAGGTACGAACTCCACATCCACCCATGTTGTCTTCGGTTCTGATTGCTCTAGAGAAAGAAAGAATATTCCCTTTAACTGGAAGCTGTTCTCCAGCCAATCTCCAAAACAGAAAAAGTTGATCATAAAAGTTGTCTCAGGATCAGCTTCAAACAAGAGTAACAGCATACTAATATATAGTTCACTAAATATTGGCACATAATAAACAGATTTATATCATGTCTTATAAAAATCTTAAAGTGAAAATAGCATTTACAAAGAAACTTACATTTTATCAGTCCCACCATATCTTTCAAAGTCTCGTTTTCCTCTGTAGTCAAAAGTGTCAAAAGCTCTGTTCCCTGGACCACCTCTGCCTCTGCTTCGCATCCCCCCTCTGGGGCCTCCACGTCCTCTCAGTGGCCTGTCTCGATCGAACCTATCGACTGGCCTAGGAAGAGATGGGTAGAATAAAAAGTGATGAATTAAAGTTTGAATGTTTTGAGAAAAAAATTCTAAAAGGAAATTGCTATAGTCTATTGGAAAAAATGGTAGCTTGAACAATAAACTAATAGTTAACCTTTACTGAGCACATACAATAGCTGGCATTGTTCTGAGCACTTTACGTACAGTAATTTAATTCTCACACACAAATCTATAATATACAACTATTGCCCACAAATGAGGAAACTGAAGCACAGAGCAGGAAGGTATTTTGCCAGGGTCACACAGCTGCCAAGTGGAGGAGCCAGCCCAGGAGAGCAGGTCCCAGACAGGCCCTTGTACTAATCTGCGTGGCCGCATCCTTTCTCTCTCTGGATCTAATTTCTTTATTTAAAAGATGAGGATGTTAGATAAAGAAACTCTAAGGTTCATTCCCATTCTAATACTAAATCCTTAAGTTAAATTTTTAATGTTTTAACTTAAACTTCAAATCTCTCCCAAATCTCTCCCTCCTAAACACACAACCAGCTAGTGATGTTTGGGACTGAAAATCTTAACCTGCTGCAACCTGACTTCTACCCCATTACACCACATAAACGCCCAAGGACAGCTGAAGACTTCTCTGTTATTTCCTCTGACCTTTCGGGCTTCTCTCTCCCTGCCTGTCCTTAAAAAATATTTTTGGAATAGGTAATACCCAAACATGGTACAAAATTCATGGTGTTCCTCAGCCACTCAATTCCACTTCTCAGAGGCAGCCACTCCCAGATCCGCACAAAGGGGAAAGCTCTGCAGCTTGCCTTTCGCACCCAACCATACGTCTTGGCACTCTACACAGAGCTGCCTCCCTCACCCTTCTGCACTCGGTCTTGGCCAAAAGGCCGAGAAGCAATCCTCGCCCTTCTGGATAGCCGTCTGTCCTTACGTGTGTCAGCACTCCCACCTCCCTTTCCCTATGCACTGCCTCCTTGTCTCTAATGCTCCTTGACCCTGGGTCTCCCATTTGGGTCTCTCTCTGATCGTGGGACACCAAGCCAGATGCTTCCTGGACACCTCCACCTGTACGCGGGGGGCCCAGCATACACATACCCAGCGCTGGGCGCTTGCTCCTCCTGTGGTCCCTAACTCACAACCCAAGAGAGAACCAGCCACTCCTCCCTCTTCTTTCCCTCTGCCACATCAGGCCCCAGCGCCAGGGTATGATCACCCACCCACTTCTCCTCACACCCATCCTTCTGCCATGTCTCTGGCCACGATCACTCTTTCTGAGGACTTGTCTCCCCTCCACTAAGACTCTAAGCTCCTGTGGGAAACGACCGTACCTTTTTCACCACTATAATCCTAGTTTAATAACTGGCCCCAATAAGATTAATATTTTTTAATTTGTCAAAGCTTTTAAAGCAACAACAAATTACTTAATAGAGGTCCTGGCATCAAAAAATCTAGTGGCCTTAGTGGCTCAAATACTCACACTAGAAGTATCTTCCAGTCTTCTGTTTTTGTTTTTTTTTAAGGGACAGGGTCTTACCATGTTGCCCAGGCTGACCTCACACTCTCAGGGTGCAGCAACCCTCCCTCAGTCTTCTGTCTCCCAAGTAGTTGGGACTACAGGTGCGCACTACAGCATCTGGTTTATTCTAATCTACTTTTATGGCTAAAAATGTTACATTAAAAAACTGGCATATAATAGTGGGTACAAAGATACAAAACTCACAATTTTCCTTACTCAAAAAGATGAAGAAATATAGAAGTACTGATTATTAACTTTTTTTTTTTTTTGAGACTGAGTCTCACTCTGTTGCCCCGGCTAGAGTGCACTGGCATCATCATAGCTCCCTGCAACCTCAAACTCCTGGGTTCAAACCATCTTCCTGCTTCAGCCTCCCGAGTAGCTGGGACTACAGGCACTCATCACCATGCCCAGCAGCTAATTTTTTCTATTTTTAGTAGAGAAAGGGTCTCTCACTCTTGCTCAGGCTGGTCACCAACTCCTAAGCTCAAGTGATCTTCCCACCTCAGCCTCCCAAAGTGCTAGGATTACAAGGCACAAGCCACCACACCTGGCCCATCATTAACTTTATGCCAGTCTCTTAAAGAAACAACATCCTAAATAAATTCTCCAAGTTGGCTTTTCTGTCTCCCACTTCCCCTGACCAAAACCAAATTTTTAAACAGAAACCTGATTCTAAACTATGGTAAATATCTAAAGCAGGGTTCTAAAACAGTAACAAAAGTAACAACAAACTCTTAACCAGGAGCTGAACAGGGTAATAAAAGAAAAAAAGTCTACCTAAAAATGAAGAGGAAATGATGAGCAAAAACATATGGAAAATGTCACAGTCAAAACCAGGTCTAAATTTACAGAAGTCTGGATCAGATACCAACAAAATATCAAACTCTTTTAAAACACAATAGTATATAAAAACTAACCCTAAAGATAAGATAGCCCAGGGCAGTCTGATACATTTTAATCCCTTTAAACCTGCGGTTCCCCAACCCCACCCAGTACCAGTCTGTGACCTATTAGGAACCTGCTTCGCATCACTGCCTGAGCTCCACGTACCCCTCGTCCCGCCCCACCCCCCGTCCATGGAAAAACTGTCTTCCATGAAACCAGTCCCTGGTGCCAAAAAGGTTGGGGACCACTGCCTTAAACCATTTCTTCTTTACTCCACACATTTTCCCCAACCCTCAATATAATGCATTCTCAAATGCTTCTTTATAATCTCTTTTTTTAAAGGTTGGTGAGGGCGGAGGAATCCCATACTCCACTTAGGAAGTCTTACTTGTGACAAACTCTCAAGTAAACAGAAAGAAAATAACATGTGAGCCAAGCACTCTGCTTTACAAAACTGTAATTCACTCTCTCCCAGCGATCCTAGTAAGTACACATGAGTAGCTGCCTTATAGGTAAAAAGACTGACGCTCACGGAGGTGGTGCTGTTTAATGGGTACAGACTTTCAGTTTGGGAAGACAAAAACTTCTGGAGATGGACAGTGGTGATGGTTACACAACAGTGTGAATGTGCATAATGCCACACTTAAAAATGATTAAAATGGTAAATTTTATGGCATATATATTTTACCATAAATTTTTTAAAAAGCTTCTTTATGGGGGATGAAGGGGTAAACACCTGAGTAATTCTTTCAGAATAGGAAGTAATTTTAAATGGCCAGCAGTAGACTACAGAAAGGAAGAGCCAAAATGTATTCAGACAGAGGCAGACTAATTTCCTAACAGTCTATGTTCCAAGAGTTCAATTAAGTTCATTTAGAGCCTAAGGAAAAATTCCTACTGCATTAAAACAGTAGTTGCATTCCCAGAATATGTACCACATGATGCAGCTGATCTCTGGAGCAAAGACACGGAGAGTTAATCCCAGCACCATTTATGACACTGTTTCTATGGGAAAACATGGGCTCTGCCTGAGCAGAGTAAAATTCCATGTCAGTTGGCTGTGACCAGAGCACTATACACATCATTGAAACTCTAGGTCTGTTACCTCATTTATAAATCCAGAGCGTTGAATTTAGATAATCTTTCAAGATTATCCAGATTCTATAATTCTGTCCAATAACATGTACAGGTATCAAAGAAATTCACGATAACATACTTTTTCACTATCAAATGAGCAGAGATCAAACTTTATTGTATTCAAGTTTGGAGAAAGTGCTATGAGAAATGCTCTCATAGATTACCAGTGACAAAGCAAACTGACAGGTTACTCGAATAATGATTTGTCACTATGTATCAACAGCTCCCCAATCCCCCAATATTGTTTGTTTCCACGCTACATGCAACCACCCAACTTTGCACTAAAGCACAAGATGGGTCCCAGTTGTAGACACAACATCCACCTGAGAACCACTGCTTTATGACCTAACTGGGACTCAACTGCTAGGACTCCATCTCAGAAACTCCCTACATATATAGAAAGCTGCTCACTGGGTATTATTTATAAAGCAAAAAAACAGAAGCTGAGCAAAGGTCCAACACTAAGGGAATCATTATGATACATCCAAACAAGAGATCATAATAGAGTCGTTAAAAGTGCTTACTAGGGGGAGGAGGGAGGAGGGGACGGGTATATGCATACACACAGAGTGCGATGCGCACCATCCGAGGGATGGACACGCTTGAAGCTCGGACTTGGCAGGGCGGGGTAAGGGCAACATAAGTAACCTAAACATCTGTACCCCCATAATATGCTGAAATAAAAAAAAAAGTGCTTACTAAACATTATTAATGACATGAAAAAACCTTCTGCATGTCAAGTGGAAAAGAAAGAATATGAAGTACTCAGCGTATATGCATTAATTATCATCTTAACATCTACCATGAATAAAAAAGAAAGGATGAAAATAGGCCAAAGTGTTAAAAGTAATCTCAAATGGTAAGATAGGTGGTTTTAAATTTTTTATAATTTTATGCATTTTCTAAATTCTCTAAAGTGACTATAAATTATTTTTATTAAAGATTTTATGAACCTTTATTATCAGGAGTTATCAAAAGAGCATTTCTTAAGTAACTAAGGAAAATATCTTTTCTGATATCACATGACATAAAAAAATTCAAATTTCCTTGAAAGTAAAAATTCCCTACATATTTCTAATGTGAAGTACTAAGAACACAACATTAATTCTGTGATGTTCCTGCCAAAAGTGCATGACCTCATTCTATGAGGCAACATCAGAAAAACTCAAAGTCTGGGATGTGCTACAAAATAACTGGCCCATACTGGTAAAAAATGTCAAATTTGGCCAGGCAAGGTGGCTCACACCTGTAATCCCAGCACTTTGGGAGGCTGAGGCAGGTGGATCACTTGAAGCCACGAGTTTGAGACCAGCCTGAGCAACATAGTGAGACTCAGTCTCTACAAAAAATAAAAATAAAAAAATTAGCCAGGCATGGTGGTACACGCCTAAAGTCTCAGCTACTTGGTAGATTGAGGTGGGAGAATCCTTGAGTCCAGGAGGTCGTGAGCTATGATTGCACCACTGCACTCCAGCCTGGGCAAATAAGCGAGACCCTGCCTTTAAAAAAAAAAGACGAATTCATAAAGATAAAGTAGGACTAAGGAGCTATTCCAAATTAGAGACTAAATACAATGCATATTCCTGGATTGAATCTTTTTTTTTTTTTTTGAGACAGAGTCTCGCTCTGTTGCCCTGGCTAGAGTGAGTGCCGTGGCGTTAGCCTAGCTCACAGCAACCTCAAACTCCTGGGCTCAAGTGATCCTTCTGCCTCAGCCTCCCGAGTAGCTGGGACTACAGGCACGCGCCACCATGCCCGGCTAATTTTTTCTATTTTTAGTTGTTTGGCTAATTTCTTTCTATTTACAGTAGAGACGGGGTCTCACTCTTGCTCAGGCTGGTCTCGAACTCCTGAGCTCAAGCAATCCTCCCGCCTCGGCTTCCCAGAGTGCTAGGATTACAGGCGTGAGCCACCTACCACACCCGGCCCTGGATTGAATCTTGAACAAGAAAACATTTCTGTTTTTGCTAAAAGAGTATCATTAGGACCACTGGTGAAATCTGAGTAAAATCTGCAGATTACATAATTTGGAGAATTGCATAACAGTACTGTATCAATGTTAATGAGTTTGATAATTGTGTCATGTTTTTAGAAAATGCATTTCGAGTATTTGGGGATAAATACACCTTACTCTCAAAGGACAAGGAAACAACATTGTGGGTAGAATGACAAAGCAAATATAAGAAAAATTTAATATTTGGGGAATCTGGATGAAGGGCATATGGGAATTCTTTGTATAATTCTTGCAGCTTTTCTGTAATTCTGAAATTATTTTTAAAGAAAAAAAATCCTTCCAACAATCCCATATCCTACCCTACCTCTACCCTTACATATGTGTATTATTTCACTTAATAGACCTCTTTTCATGTCACATATGAAGATTTTATCCTTTTTAAAAACTACGTAGTCTTGCTACTAAAAAAAGGTGGCAACACAGATTTGCGCTTTTTTTTTTTTTTTTCTGAGACAGAGTCTCACTTTGTTGCCCAGGCTACAGTGCACTGGTATCATCATAGCTCACTGCAACCTCAAACTCCTGGGCTCACATGATCCTCCTGCCTCAGCGTCCTGAGTAGCAAGCCACCATGCCTGGCTAATTTTTTTCCATTTTCAGTAGAGACAGTTCTCACTCTTGTTCATGCTGGTCTTAAACTCCTAACCTCAATCAATCCTCCTACCTCAGCCTCCCAGGATGCTAGGATTACAGGTGTGAGCCACCACGCCTGGCTGGGTTTATGCCTATGAATTACAATTTCCTTATTTCCACAGAATAAATCCTTGAAGTGAGAAAAAAAATACCTAAATGCTTCCAAAAATAAGTAGCTCTGATCCAAGAGGCTTTGAATAAGTAGACTGTGGCCATTACACAGGAAATTTGAAGCAATCAGCACCCCCCATCCCACCCAAAAAAGAATTAAGCCTTTCCATTCCATAACCCTCTTGTATCAACATGGTTGCAGATACACCATCTCGATGTTTTCAATGTGAAACTTCTAGGTGAATAGATCTGCAGATCTGCTTAGCCCTCTCAGACTGAGCTCTGGACTTTTTTTTTTTGGTTTGTTTTTAATAGACTCTACAAAATCATGTTCTTTGGTTAAAACTTATAGCCAGGATCCTAAATGGAATTAGTAGTCAAGAAGCTGAAAGACTCTGGGAATAATGGCTCCCCTGACATTTAAACTGTACACTATTTTAGTTTTCTCTTAGCCTTTCTTTATCTTCCTTGAAATGTGATTCACTAGTTCTTTCTGTTTAACCTGAAGTCTGTGCTATATAGGTATATAGATCAAACAAAAGCTTTAGGCAACAAGCACCATCTTGCTAGTGCCAAGCATAAGACACATATACTACCTTTGTGTTGCTACATCGCTCAGGAGTGATGTAAGACTGCACCTGCCCAAGGCCATCTTTCATATCAGAGTACTTTCTAGAGAAGGTATGCAAGCCAGAAATTGGCATTACACATCATATCAGGTTTCTCTTCAAATTTTATCATGATAGCCTACTGACCTGACCATGGAGCTAGGAATTTGTTTCAATCCAGTTAGTAGTTTAAATTAGTTATGCTAAATCAAAACTATAATTATGTCCTTAGCCCCAAATTATATCCCCGGTCTAGAACCTCAAAAGAAAATTTAACCAGTTCAACACACTCTTGTGTAGTCTTTTTTTTTTTTTTTTTTTTTTACAAGAGTGCTTTGCATAGTTACCAATAAACAATTCATTTTTAATTGTACAATCATTTCCTGAACCAAGACATAAGGTCACCTATGAGATAAATGGAAGATCTTTCACGTGTCACCTAAGGTAATACAATCTGCTACTTAAATTGGCAAAACATTCCTAGGGATGGCACCATGAAAAGGTCAAAAAGGCTATTAGTTTTCTGAAAACCCTTCTGGTTCTCCCGCTCTCGCAGTGCAGCACATACTTTTCATCTGTGAACTTCTCAGCTGTAAAGTCTGCCTGCCTCTCAGTCTCATAGGGTCGATATTCCCTGTAGGATCTCCGCTCGGCTCTATCAAGTGTCACCTCTGTGCCCCGGGTATCATTCCATCCTTGCTGCTCCCCTCTTCTGGGAGTTCGCTTCTGGCCTGCCAGTGGAAAATCAAAGCAGAGAGCTGGAACACAATGTCTGGAACAGCATGGTGTTAAACTTTACAGGTACTTTTAAATTTCACTCTTCTAGAAATCAGTGTCACAGCAAAATTTGGGAAGTTTGAAAAACTGCAGAGAAGAAAAAACTTGCTGATACTACTACTACCCAGAGTTTTTAAATAAAACTTTATTATTAAATCATGCTTCCCCTATGTCCTAGAAAGTATGGTAAGACAAACTATTAACATACAAGCTCACCTATAATTACAGGCATCTCCCAGTCACTGTGACAGCCACAGATATATTTTACTAAACTATATTTCATAAAAGTAGCTGTACCAAAACATGATATATATAGAAAATTAAAGAATACATACCCTGCATTTCAGATTATACTTTCAGAAACTCAACTGCACACAAAATGAGGGCACTTATGGCTTTATCTTCAGCTACCAACATGTTTTTTTTAAACAGTTTGTAGTGCATGTTGTTTTATTTTGAAAACAGATTTTCCTGCTCTTTGATGGGATTTATTCATTTGCAATCATACATTTCACATATGAGCCCAAATTGCTATTTGCCAACTCACCCAAGGGCCAGTCAGTACTTTAAGAGGGAATCTCTTTTGTCCATTGACAGTTCAGCACGCAGGTGGGGCAGGAACAAGGTGCTGGGACCACTACAGTTTCTTCCTCTTTCTCCTCTCACTTTACTTTATTCCCCTCTAGTTTTATTTGATGTTTGAAAAATTTTAAGCAATGTCTGTTTGAAACCATCTAATATTTGGTAAATATGTTGTGGAGAACTTTGTCACTTCTTAAATAACCTTCCAAAAATGTCTACATTTTTGGTATACATTTAAAAGATCTTCTCTCAAACATTATGTGCAATTTTTACTATAGTAGCTTCAATTTTTCTTAGCATAAATTCCCCTCCACATTAGTTGTACAGCTATAAAATTTTAAATTCATTCAAATTAGTGGGTATATTTTTTAACTGCTAGATTCCTCTCCCACTTAGACAGACACACATAACTCTTAAGGAATATATGTACATATGCATTTTTCTATTTTCCCACTTAATATTTCCTACCTGAACTTTATAATCTGGGTACAGGTAAATGTTAACTGGTACTTTAAAGCAAAAATCATGTTTAGGACATCACTAACATAAATTGTGCAATTTATTCCTTGCTAACATAAAGTATTTTTTTCAAGTTTGAAAAGTTGCACGACAGAACTAAGTTCAATCGACCATAATTTTAATGTCCCATAACCTAGAGATATTTAAATCCAATTTGTATCCTGTAGTGAGGTCACAATCTGAGTTTGTAACATGTTTAGGATATGGGAAAGATGTTATCATAAATAGAGCGTCAAGACAGTGACTGATACTTGTGCCCAGTTGCCTAGGAATATGCAGTGTCAGATGTGTGGGCACATACAATACTAAGAGACAAAAATTGGAAGAGGTATTCAAAATATAAGGTAGAAAAAACTATTATGAAAATTAATTATCTAACAAGTTGAAAATTATAATAGATGACGTAACAGTCATCAGGAAATTTATCAACAGTAACAACTTTTCCATACTTTTACCTCAGTGTAAAAAGAATTCGTTAATACAGCTTCAGATTTCCTGTTTGCAACCTGTAGTTTTAAAAAAATGTTTTAAAATAAATAAATAAATCTTTTACTGTCTTCATGCAACTACAGAATTACTCAGGTGCTTATCCCACCTTTCTGCTTCCTCCGAGTTATTTTTTAATTATATCAATTAAATTTGGAATTTGCCATTCAAAACTTAAAATATGATATTTATTGTACTTCATATTAAGGCCTCTTCCAAAGTTTCTATGTATAAATTGAAAACTGTTAAATAAGACTGCCTACTTATTAGAGTTAGAAATACCCTACGAACATTTCATTCTCCCCTCCAAACTCCCCTAAAGATAATCAGTGACCAATTTTTTTCCCATAATTTAGTACTAGGATATCAAGACTGCAGCTGAACCTAGCTTGTTTTTCTGTGCTGGTTCAGCAGCTCCAAGTGGGTAATGCAAACACTGCATTTCACTAGCCCTTTCCAATAAAAGGCTGGCACATGCAGTGTGGTCACTGATCTAAACCAAGCCCGTGTGAAGAAACAGAATACAGTCAAATTTACAGTAAGATTTCCTACAAAAATAAAGTTGAGCTTTGGCTAAAAGACCAAAGCTCTGAAAGGCTAGAAAAACAAAGCTGAAACAGCCCCTTATGACTTCAAGAATGAATTTATTATGCAAGGCTCACCACCCAAGGGTTACTGTTAGATTGTCAGACATTAAAAACCTGTTTCCATGGGAAAATCTTATAATTTCCACTTTCTTCTGAGATTAATAAATGTTTCTATTATATGCCAAACACATCTTTGTCTACACTAAGCATTCGTGTATAGAATTCTAACCAAATTAAAATTTTTGAGTGTTAGAAAAGTACAGTCCTTCATATCAATTAGGACTACAAAACCTTAAGAGAGCAGCTAACACCCATTACAGATAAATTTAGTACGTAACTACACAAATGGAAAATAATGAGCTGTCTGCTCCTGAAATAACACATACTTGAAGAACTAGAATGACAAAATTTCCATTCTAACTAGAAAATCAACTAAGTATCTTTAATACAGATTTAAAAAGCCACATCACCTGGAACTGACCAAAAAAAAAAAAAAAAGTTGCATGCATACTAGACCACAATGTCAAGTGCAAAAAGCAGGTTGCAGCCCAGTTTTTACCATTTAAGTTTAGAAAAAAAAAATAGCTCTGGACATTCATGTGTATAAACACAAAGTGTTAACAGCAGGAAAAATAAAGGATCTTCAATTTACCTCATACAAGAATTGTTTAAAATTTCATAGCAAAAATACATGACATTTTTAATTTTTTAAAAGGCTAAAAATCAATATATTAACAGCACTAACTGCAGTTTCACACTCTTCTAAAGGATAGAATACATATTTTCATTTGTTAAAAAATAAAGGGAGAAGAAAAGCTTAGTCTTCCCCAATTCTTTTGTTAGCATATTTATCTAAAAAAATTTAAGAGAAAAACAAGGAAAATAATATAAAATTTACAGTATCTCAAGTCTCACTGTTTAGACAGGCTCATAAATGTACTGCTTGCCAGGGGTCTTGAGATAGCCAATAGCATTTTTTATAATTTTCAACATCTTTTTGTTGTGACTTGATTTTTTGATTCTCAAGTAATGACTCTGGATTTAATTTTTCACAAATAAAGGTAAACCTTACCTAGCTGCACACGTCAGAGGCCCAATAGTTAAACCAGGTGTTTTCTCTGTGTTGGGATGCACAATTTCTACCAGGCAAGGAACAAGCCAATAAAGCCGAGTTGAATACACTGCCAAACGTTGGCTGGAGTGGTCAAACTATACATGCTAATCATCTAATACTCTGCAAACCTTAAGACCACTGCTTTATTTCAGGAAAACAGAGGAAACACTGGTGGGGTGTTGCTGACTATGCAACTGACGCACTTCAGGTGAGACAAATGCACTCTGAAGCACGTTCCCTGTATGCAGAGAGCAGTGCACCGCGCGGTGCATGGGCCGTTCTAGCTAAACAGGGAGTGGGGAATTTTGAATATTCTCGTTGCAAAGGTTAAAAACGCTTTTCTTAAAAGCAGCCTTGAGTTAATTACAAATGACACATGCCATCATCACTACCCGGTGTACTGAAACACGACGCCGGCTGACTACTGGAAGCTCCGGTACGGGGAAGGGGAGAAGGCTCCCCGCTCGGGCCCTGACGTCACGAGCCGCCCGCGCTCGCCCAGGCCTTCCCTCCGTCACAGAGGCCCCGAGCCCGGACCCCCGCGCGATTCTCTACGCTGCCCGGGCTCTCGCCACCACCCCCGGAGGCCGGCGGCGCCCTCCCTCCTTCCCATCACGCTTCTGCGTCCGCCCGCCGACCTGAATCTTGCAGAGGCTGGGCTGGAGGATGGAGAAGGTCCTGCTCCAGATCTGGGAGCCCCGGGGTAGCGACCTCGGTTTCCGCCCCCGCACGCCATCCCACCAGTGTCCCTCAACTTCGTCCAACTTGTCGTAAAGGCTCAGTTCCAGGGTTCTGAGACCCCCTCTAGCTCCAAGCCTGCACTCTCCCCCGGAACCCCAGGAAGGAATGGGAAAGGCCAGAAGGGGTGTGGGCCCCCGCCCCTCTTTTCTACCTTCGCGGCCACAAGGACCCTCAACTCACCAACTCTTCCCAGAGCCCCCTCCCCTTTCTGGAACTGGTTCCAGTGACCCCGGCCTCACAAGGAGATTCGGGGGGCGTCTGGGGAGGGGTGACCTCCGTGACCTCATTCTCCTCCCTCTCCCACCCTGGGCGCCCGGGTGCTGGCGGGACGTGCGTACCGGGCGGCTGCGGGCCGCCCCCGGGGCTGTCCGGCTGCTGCGCGCCGGGAGCCGGGAGGCTCTTGCGCTCCTTCTGGGACTCCCTCCGGCAGCCGCCCGCGCCGGGTCTGTAGCCTGAGGCCCCGGCCGGGCTTCTGCCGCCGCGGCTGCTGGCCCCAGCCGCCGCCGCCGCCGCCTCGTCGCGCCTCTTGCGCTGCAGCTGCTGCTGGCGCCGGCGCTCGGCCTCGCGCAGGATGTCGAACGGGTCCGACTCGTCGTCCAGCAGCTGGTGGAAGCGGTTGGCCACTACGCAGCCGAAACTCTCCTGCATCGCGGAGCCGGCGGCGGCCGCGGCCACGGGACTCCCCAGAGCGCCCTTCATGCCGCCGCGGCCACTGCGGGCCCGCCGCGGGCAGCCCACGCGAGCGAGTCTTAGCAAAGCCTGCGGCTACGACCCATCCTGCCTGCCTCCGCCGCCGCCCTCCCTGCCAGACTGGGTCGGGTCCCTCCCGGCACCCGCCCCCGCGCCGCCGCCGCCGCCGCCGTCCTCCCAGCCACGCCAGACAGCCAATCAGCGCGCGTGGGTACGCCCCTTTCCTAGCCGGCACGCCTGCAGGGCCAATCACCGGCCGGCTGCTGCTACGTCACGCGACCTCTGTGGCGCTCCCCCTCCGACTCAGCGAGCAGGGGCAGGGCCCACGGGGCGGAGCTACTGGCTGGAGAAACTAGTCTTGTGGTCGAGGCAGCTCGGACTTGCGGGTGGGTCACGGCCATTATGTGGGTTCTTCGGCTGGGTCCATATTCGTTGTCGACCACTCTTCTTTGAAGCTTATATATATTTAATAAAATTAGCCATTCAGCAGCTATGTGACGAGCACTTACTGTGTGCCAGGCGTTATGTTGTAGGAGGTGCTACCTCCGTGTTTTTATGGACCTTATTCTGCAGCCTGAGAAAAAGTGTCCTGAAGAAAAAGCAGAGTTCTCTAGGAGCCTATAGCTGAGGGACCTGACCTAATTAGGAAGTGACAGTTAAGCTGAGAAAGAAGGGTGAAAAGGGGCAGGAGGAAGGAAAGCGCAGAAGTCTTGAGGTGGGATGAAACACAACACATTGGAGCTAGAGGAAAAGCAGTGTAATTGGAATGCAAAGAGTTGGGCAGGGCCCTATTTGGTCTTTATCCTCGAAGCAGTGGGAAACAAGTTTTAAGCATGAGCAGATTTGTGTTTGAAAAGGGCACTTTACCTGCATTGTCAAGGAACAGTCTGGAGGAAGGTCAAAATGGATGCAGAGATGCTAAGCGAAAGACAGTTGCAAAACTCCAAGGAAGAGTTGATAGTGACTTGGATTAGGATGGTGGCAGTGGAGGTGAAGAGAGTGAATAGATTCGAGGAGTTGGTGATACACTAGGTGTGGGTGATGAGGAAGAAGAAGGTATAATGACGCCTGATTTTCTGGCTCAGGCATCTGAATGGCAGTGCTTAGTCACAAAGAAATAGAGCACTGGAAGAGACCACGTTTAAGAGAATTATGAGTTCAGTCTTGAACATGTTGAGGTTTGAGTTGCGTTTTTGTTTTGTTTTGTTTTTTTCTTTTGAGATATTCAATTGAGGCCTGGAGGTCAGAGGAAACCGCTGGACTGGATTTCCTCCAGGAAATCTTGCTTGGGCACCGATGCAGACAGTCTTGGCAGCCTATCCTACAGCCATTCTCTCTCTTACATTTTTCCAGAACCTGTGTTTTGTTCAGGCGTGAGGTGGCTGTATGCCCCAGGGGAAGCCTCAGACTTGATTAATCTTAAATCATTCATTGTACCTAATTCCATTCCCTTGCCAGTGACTGGTGTAGGAATAGGCTGTGGAGCAAATCAGGCAGAACTGATCTCAGCAAAAGTATTCTGGGAATATTTTTCATGCACCTAAAAAGGGATTGAGAAGGGTCTCCTCACTTCTGTTCTTTGGTCCTTGTTGTGTGAGGAGGACATGATGCCTGGAGTTGTTGCTCCTTATTTCGGCCATGAGAATGACAGAGCAGAAGGATGGAAAAAACCTAGAACTTTGATGTTGTTGAGCTGCCAAATTAACCCACTTGGGAACCTCCCTACCTCAGACTTCTTATCATGTGAGATGATAAATGCCGTTATTGTTTAAGCTACTCTGTGTATGTTTCTTGCATCCAAACGCATTCTGTTAGAGCATCTTGCTCAGGTGCTTCATGACCAGCTTTCACTTTCCTTTAATAGCAAATGGAAAAGGAATTCTTAATCTTCAATGCCACAGGTCTGTGTTTTATTCACTTACTTAATTTTCTGTCATTCCTGAGGAGGACAGGAATGATGCCTGTCTTATCTATTGCAATTTGTATTCCCAGTGCTTGGCATGCTAGGCTGATGTACAGTAGGTTTTCGGTAAATATTTGTTGAATGACTGAAGAATTTAAGATATTTGAGTCTGCAAAAATTAATGCCTGTATTTTCTACCCAAAAGAATTAAAAGCAGGTGTTCAAACAAAAAAGTGTACATAAGTGTTCATAGCAGCACTATTCACAATAGCCAGAAGGCAGAAACAACTCAAATGATCAATGGATAAACAAAATGTGGTACAATGGATTATTATTTGGCCATAAAAAGGAATGAAGTACGTGTTATAACATGAGTAAACCTTGAAAACATTGTTCTAAGTGAAAGAAGCCAGACAGAAAAGGCTACATATCGTACGATTCCATGTATGTGAAATGTCCAGTATCCAAAGAGACAGAAAGCGGGTTAGTGGTTGCCAGGGGTGGGGGTAGGGAGAACTTAATAAGCATGGGGGTTTTCTTTGAGGGCAATAAAAATGTTCTGGAACTAGATACCAGTGATGGTTGCACAAAATGTGGAATTTACTAAACGCCACTCAATTGTACAATTTAAAATTGTAAAAATGTAAATTTTATGTGTGTTTTACAACAATTTAAAAAAACAGAAACAAAAGCAGGCACTTTGGAGTCAGACCAAGGTTTGAGTCCTGACTCTGCCATTCAGTAACTTTGTGACCTTGGACACGCTCCTTATTTCTGTGCCTCAGTTTTCTTATCTGTAAAATGGAGAAAATAATGGTCCCTACCTCAGAGAGTTATGGTGAGGACTGGATGAGATAATGCATAAGAGGTGTTCAGCATAGTGCCAGGCACAGAGTAAATCCTCAGTAAAAGTCATTGTTATTATCAGTGTTATCAGTATTATCATCATCATTTTGAATCAGGTTTAAGAGTAGGTAGAGTCATAAAGGGTCCTTGTCATCATGAAGTAAAGAAATTTCCAAAGATTCTTTGCACACCAGAATTACCACGTGCAGCAGAGACCACACTTCGAGAAGCACTGCTCTGAACAGAGTTGTCTCTGGCATCTTTAAGCTGCTCATCACCAAACCACAATCCCAAGTAACCATTACCACTTGAGAGAATGGCCTATCATCTTCCTACTGGCCATCTGGAGTCAGCCCACTCGCCTGTTTTCTTCCTATTTTTCTTCCAGGATAGCCAACTACTGCAAGTCCTTAAAGCCTACCCTGTGAGCACTGCATCCTAATTTCCAAATCACAAATACCCAAAGCAGTTGTAAGTGAACCAATTCTGGTTGTTTCAGGATTAAGAACACCTTTAGAACCACTGAATCAGAGATGAGTAATCTCTAGCTGGTATTAGCTAGCCATGAGTTTTTTATGGGGCTGTTGATTACTGTAGAATTTACTGATGGCAACTTATTAAGCAACCTCATATTTTTTACTGACCATTTTTTTGCTGGGAGATTGCATCCTTAAATGCATTCCTAAAATACAATTCTACCACATTAGCATGAGTTATTCACAACATTATGTTTAATGTGGTCAGTTTAATAGACTGATCTTTCTAATAATCTGAGATATGAAAACAATCTTTGGTAATTATAATACCAAGCAGAAACACACACACACATCCATATGGCATAGGAAAATAAAGCACATCAAAAAAGCAGGGAAGTGCTCGCTTCGGCAGCACATATACTAAAATTGGAACGATACAGAGAAGATTAGCATGGCCCTTGCGCAAGGATGACACGCAAATTCATGAAGTGTTCCATTAAAAAAAAAAAAAAAAAGCAGGGAAGTGTGGATGCTGAATAATACCATCAACCCTTCTGTCGTTATTATATATATTCCAGTGGTTACTTATTACCAACAATGGAAATTCAGTGAAGCTTACTGTATACGAAATGTAAATTACCTTGAGTTACTTAATAGAGGAGTTCCATTAGGAATAATAAAATACACTAAAGTGTTCCATATTGACTTGAAATTCACAGAACAGTCAATTGCGAGTTTGAAAACATGTAGCTTCATTGCTTTCAATTACATGCAGAGAACATCACCTGGGTGAAGACCAAGGCAGAGGGGCCAAGCCAGGCTGTAAAGGATGTGAGTTCTTGTTAATTGCCAAAGAGCTGCATTCCATCTCCTCTGTTTGCCACTGGATTACTGCTCTTTGCTTACCTTTTCTCCCCTCTAAAATTAGGATGATTATAATCTGTCTGGTGTTCCTCATATGGTTGCAGGGAAAACAAAATCAAGTCAATTGAGAAAGGTAAAAAATATCACACTATTTTATAATTGTTTCTACTTGCATAATATATGTAAGAACAGAACTATTTTTCGTAACTCTAAGAGTATCTGATCTTCTAAGCCAGTTGAATCAATTATGATAAGATCAATGAAGATATCATTCCAGTTTAGCTATTCCAAGGTTGATAAGTGCATTCAAATTCAGCTTCCCACAACAAATGAATGAAGCAAGTACATAGTCTCAAAGTTAATAAGTTAACTCCTCACTTCCCTAAGGATGGTCTGTGGACCAGCAACTTCCACATCACCTGAAAGCTTTTTAGAAATGCAGAATTTTAGGCCCCCCCAAAAGCTACTGATCAGAATCTACACTTCGCAGTATTCCTAGGAGATGCCTGTACATAGTAAAATTTGAGAAGCACTGAGCTAAAGTAAAAATACAAAGTCAGCAGTTGGATCTGTCAGTATCAACTGATGAAGCCTGTTCATCATTTGCAGCTGAACAGTTTACCTTTTCCTAGCAGCTGGTATGTTTGGGGTGGTCAGCCTAGAACCTAGGCACATGATTGGAAAAAATAGCCTGACCACCAAAGAGGGACAGAGATTCCTTGGATAGAGCATAGGCCCATGCATTCTGGGGTTCTTGGCCATCCTGCCACTGCCCAAGTTGAGAGCTGGAAAAGCAGAAGCCCAGCAGGCAGCAGAAAGAAAAACCAGTTGGGGCCAGGCAGTGGAGAAAAAAGTGTGCTCTGCAGGAGCCTGGTGAGCAAGTCACCCCAGAATAGAAAGAGAAAAGCTCCCTCTACTGACAGGACTTAACATCCCTGCTGCTGGCAAAGGAAAACTACTTAAAAGGGCCAGATCCATTTTCACAGAGCAGGCAAT